AGCGCAACAACAATGGCGAAATCAAGCGCCGACGATGCCGAGCTCCGGCGAGCTTGCGAGGCTGCGATCGAAGGAACCAAACAATCGATCGTTATGTCGATACGCGTCGCTAAGAGCCGCGGTGTTTGGGGAAAGTCTGGAAAATTGGGTCGGCAAATGGCCAAACCTAGGGTTCTCGCTCTTTCCGGTGATGTTTCCATTTCCTTTCTTCTTTTGATCCTTCAGATTTGATAGCATTTCTGGAATTACTCCATCTCCGCCTTGTTTGGCTAGCTTAAGCATTAGATCGGAACTTTGTTTCCTGGTACAGTTTTTAGTTTTGTATAATAGTCGCGAAGTTGATATCCACTGGTAAGAATTTGACATAATAAGATAAGCATAGTAAGGTAATCGACTTGTTTTGAGTTGGGGATAGGGAAAATTCCACTGTTATTGGCACTTTGAAGAATCCTGGGAGCTTAATTAGGTTTTCCTGTCAACGATAGGTGATATAATACATTGTGCTGAGCTTGTGTTGTGTCAAGAAAGGCTCTGATTCTAGTGGAAAACATGTTGTCGTAGATCCGTGTTTCAAGCTTTCTCGTCAAATATTTTCAGATTCTCAAGAGTCCTAATCAGTTGAGTATGTTCTTTTATTCTGCTTTCTACAGTCAAATCGAAGGGTCAGAGGAAGAAAGCATTTCTTCGAGTCATGAAGTATTCAAGTGGAGGAGTCCTGGAGGTAATCTTCATTTTGTTAATTGAAACTTACAAGGTTTAACATTATGATTAGAAAGAAAGAAGATGATTAACAATCGGATTTATGCATACCATTGTGGTAGGAGATTCCTTACAGCTCATGTTGTCTGATGTTGTTTTAAACTTCTTTGTTCATCCAGCCTGCTAAAATGTACAAACTCAAGCATCTTTCAAAGGTGGAAGTCATAACTAATGACCCAAGTGGATGCACTTTTACCCTGGTAAGATCACTCGGTGACTTTAATGAAGTGGTCAATACGTATGATTTCAAGAAGAAATGCACGCTTACTCAAATTATTTGTGGCATGTAGTGTAAGAGATGGAACACAAAAACTGAGTGTAATTGTAAAATACTGTTCAATATTTTCCATGTTCCCTCTGCTATTTCTGATGTAAATTTTTATAGGGATTTGACAATCTCAGGAGTCAAAGTGTTGCTCCCCCTCAGTGGACCATGCGCAACACGGATGACAGGTACTGCAGTTAGAAACATACATATTAACTCATACAAGATGTGGAGGATATATGACAACCAATGATAACTTTCTTATTGTTGTTTTGTTCATATGGTTCATACCTTTTTTTATCGTGATTATATAGGAACCGGCTTTTAGTTTGCATATTGAACATATGCAAAGACGTATTACTCCGCCTTCCCAAAGTTGTTGGTATAGATATCGTCGAGATGGCTCTTTGGGCTAAGGTGCGGATGAGAACTTCTTCTGTTTTCAAATTCTGGTCTTAGTCTCTTATTTCCCAAAAAAAGCTTTTGTATGTACTTGTGATTCTTTTCCCTTCTGTCATATGCAAGTTCTTTTCATACCATGGCTTGATCTGCTTTGTCTTTCTTTGTTTTCATATTATTGGTCTAGGATAACACTCCAGTAGTCACTACTCAAAGAAGTACAGAAGATGGTGAGCCTGTTGCTGAAGCTGTTACAGAAAGTGACTTGAAAGTTACTGTTGAGAAAGAACTAGTCTCTCAGGCTGAGGAAGAGGACATGGAGGCTCTCTTGGGAACGTATGTCATCGTTTTGGTTAAATACTTTCACAAATTTATTTATTTCTTTTTTTCGTAAATCAGTATTTCTTACGAAGGAGGACTTTTCTATCCTTCTACTTTGCATTATAGTTATATGGAATGAAGAGATAAGAGAGAAATTAAACAGGAAAGCATATCAAAGAGCCTTGCCCCGTGAATCATAAGCTCGTGCCACTAGGTTTCCGACTAACATAGATTGCATATATGTCCAGCATGCTTCATAATTATAGAACCGCTTTCTTACATTTGTGCCTCTTATGGTTTTTAATTTAAACTCTTGGCATTATTTCTCTGAAAACTTGCTCTGATGTGGTTCCACTTAGTTTTGCCAGATTATTCATACGACTAATATAATTGATATATACAGTTATGTAATGGGCATTGGTGAAGCTGAGGCATTTTCTGAAAGGCTGAAGCGAGAGCTCCAAGCTCTTGAAGCAGCAAATGTACATGCAATTCTGGAAAGCGAACCATTAGTAGACGAGGTATTTTCTTTTGTGCCAAATTATTATTCTTAGGACTATCTAGATATTTGGACAATTTAAATTTATTCATGGGAGATCAGCATTAATGTTCTTGTTTATATGGCCATCTTCATGTTTTCCAGGTCTTGAATGGACTAGAGGCAGCAACAAATATTGTTGATGACATGGATGAATGGTTAGGGATCTTCAACATAAAACTTAGACACATGAGGGAAGACATTGAATCGGTAGGACGCACTATCTATAAATGATCACTCGTTATTTGTTTTAGTACGAGGATATGGTCACTGCATTAAGAAATTAGTTGCTAGGTGTTGTCAGTTATCTCATCTCCTGGATATGCATGGATTTTTTTTATTTTTGGGGTATTTGGTAATGACTTCATATTTCTTCTGAGATCTGCGAAAGTAAGACTGAGAGATAAAACGAAGTTTTGTGTTCATTACCTTCAAATGTTAACACATATTCTCAATTTTTGGTGGTATCCAGATAGAAACTCGAAACAACAAGTTAGAGATGCAGTCTGTAAACAATAAAGCTCTCATTGAGGAACTTGATAAAGTTATCGAGAGACTGCGTGTGCCTTCTGAGGTTTGTTTCACTCTATTGTAACCATATGAATATTCTTTGTGCTTGGTTCTCATCTGCCTACTTGGTTCACTTATAGAAGTATTGTTGATTGCAGTATGCAGCATCTCTAACAGGAGGCTCATTTGATGAGGCAGACATGCTCCAAAATATCGAGGCTTGCGAGTGGTTAGCCAAAGCTTTAAGGGGTCTTGAAGTGCCCAACTTGGACCCGATCTATGCTAATATGCGAGCTGTATGCCTATGCTCTTAGATCTATTTTATTCACTCATTGTTATTCTGAATTCACGCGCTTGGTTTATTACATTAATGATTGTGATTAGAAAAGCACATTACTAATTGTCTAAAAATGTATAGTTTTTGTACAACTACCTGAATTCGGCTACTCTTGCTGTATTTTCTTCAGGTAAAAGAGAAACGAGCAGAACTAGAAAAATTAAAAGCTACATTTGTAAGGAGAGCTTCTGAGTTCTTGAGAAACTACTTTGCTAGTTTGGTTGATTTCATGATCAGCGACAAAAGCTACTTTTCTCAGGTACTACCTTTGTAAAATTCTATCATTCCACTATGAACTCTAGAGATTCTAATTCTGAATGTTTATCAATGCATCTTATAAATAGAGAGGGCAGCTGAAGAGGCCTGACCATGCAGATTTGCGGTATAAATGCAGAACATATGCTCGTCTTTTACAACATTTAAAGGTAAAACCAAGAAGTGACTGTGGCATTCTGAAAGCTCAATGTGGTGCATTGATTCCTAACTTATCTACTTTCTTTTTGCAGGGTCTTGATAAGAATTGTTTGGGACCATTGAGAAAAGCATACTGCAGCTCCCTGAACTTGCTCCTTCGCCGGGAGGTGAGGAACAAAATTCCGTGTCTCTTATCGATTTCACCACCGATAGATTTGAACTCTGATTGGACTGAAGTTTCTAAAACTTGAATGTTAAACCACATGGATATGCAGCAAACATTTTCTTTTCTTCGTTTCTTAGAGCTTTAAATATTCAGTTCATGTTACCAGATATTTTTTCCCTGAAAATATACAGGCTCGTGAATTTGCAAATGAGCTTCGTGCAAGCACAAAAGTATCACGAAACCCTACTGTCTGGCTAGAAGGATCAACGGGTTCTAGTCAGAATGCAAACACTGATACCTCTGCAGTGTCAGATGCTTATGCCAAAATGCTGACAATATTTATCCCACTTCTTGTCGATGAGGTAATTACTTAAGCTATGATTTTCTGTTCGGCCTTAATATTCAACTGATGTATGTACTAAAACCTCATGGTTCCTTTTTGCTTCATACTGCAGAGCTCCTTTTTTGCGCACTTCATGTGCTTTGAGGTACCAGCTCTTGCTCCACCTGGAGGTTCTGGCAATGATAGTAAAAACCGGTCCAACAATGACGATGGTAATGACGATGATGATTTGGGGATCATGGACATTGATGAGACTGACAAGAAAACTGGTAATCTCAAATGGTTACCATCAGTAAAGCTTTTACTACATTCTCAATTTATAGGGTCCAATGGTTCTAAAATCAAAACATTTGTCCAATTCTGCAGGTAAAAACTCCCCAGACCTAACGGCATTGAATGAATCTCTTCAAGATTTGCTTGATGGTATTCAGGTAAGATGCCCCTCATAAAAATGTTTCTATGTTAATTGAAAGACACAATCATTAATTGAATTATTCAATTATAATACTAAAAGAAAGATCTGTCTTCTTGTCACTGCAGGAGGATTTCTATGCTGTTGTTGACTGGGCATATAAAATAGATCCCCTACGGTGCATATCAATGCATGGTATAACTGAACGTTATCTTTCTGGTCAGAAAGCTGATGCTGCAGGATTTGTTCGCCTTTTGCTTGGTGATCTGGAGTCGAGGGTTTCTATGCAGTTCAGCCGCGTATGTTACTCATAGATTGTTTGATTTTTATTCCTTGCATACTCTTCCTACTAATCATTTCAAGTCAAATTCAACTACAGTTTGTGGATGAAGCATGTCACCAGATTGAAAGAAATGAACGTAATGTAAGACAGATGGGCGTCTTGCCCTATATTCCAAGGTAATCATGAACTCCAAATTGTTGAATACATTTTTATTTCCAAACTGGATAGTATTTTCTGATTTTGTGGTTCTGTTCTATTTCTCCCATTAAGATTGTTGGTCACATGGACTATAGGTATCCAAGAAACCATTCTAGTATTACTTGTGGCTATCGTAACACTATTTTCTCATTTTCATAGATTTGCAGCACTTGCTACTCGTATGGAACAGTACATACAAGGGCAATCCAGGGATTTGGTGGATCAGGCATACACAAAATTCGTGAGTACTGCTATTTCTATTAGTTTATTCAACCAGTAAAATTACACAAACCATGCAACCAAAGAATAATGTTTGCCACACTGAGCAATAACATACAACCTCAAATTGCATCTGAATCTTAGCACTTACAATGTGTAAACCATTACTTCGTTCTCAAATTGTATAACAGCAAAATATAAGTAAAGCATATTATCTCAGATTGTTCATGCGTTCACTATTGCTATTTCTTTTTTCTCGCTTTGGTAGACAGATGCTGAATAGTAGTGTTTTACAGGTGAGCATAATGTTTGTGACGCTCGAGAAAATTGCCCAGCAAGATCCTAAATATGCAGATATTCTCCTTTTAGAAAATTATGCTGCTTTTCAGAATAGGTAACTCCCATTCTCAATCTTGGTTTGTCTTCTTCTTCTTCCAACTACTCATATTTCCTTAACCC